TTGGTAAAGTATACAAGGGACGCCTGGCTGATGGTTCATTAGTTGCTGTGAAAAGACTGAAAGAGGAGCGGACACCTGGTGGGGAGCTTCAATTTCAGACTGAAGTAGAGATGATCAGCATGGCTGTACATCGAAATCTTCTTCGTTTGCGAGGATTCTGTATGACACCAACTGAAAGGCTGCTTGTTTATCCATACATGGCTAATGGGAGTGTTGCGTCATGCTTAAGAGGTAGATGTTTGGCATTGTTTACCTATATTTTTAAAGTCAGTATGCTTGATTGGTTGTTAATCATTGAATAGAATGTACCAAGGCATGATTAATGCAAGCGCATTTTACCTTCTAATGGCAATGCTATTAGCTTTGATTACATGACATTGCATTTGTGTTTTCTAAAATTGTCTTTTGGTCCAATGGAAGGACGCAGATGATGCTAACCTGTACAACAAAGTGAGGTTAGCATCTCCTTTATCTATAATGGTTGGGGAGAGGACGGCAATGTTAGAATTACTATTCCCCTCATTATTTATGGATGCCTCTGCTTTCTGCTTCCATGTCCGTTTTAAATTGAATATATTCAATGATTTTTTAAATTTGAATTATCATGATTCAGGGTTAGCCTGCCTATCATTTTTCAGCATATAATTGGTTTTTGATCCTCATAGATGAGATGCTTTCCCTAGTTTTTTTCTATTCGCCTTGTGATTTCGTATTTGCATTACTCCAGAGCGCCCAGCACATCAACCTCCCCTGGACTGGCCAACAAGGAAGCGAATAGCATTGGGTTCTGCCAGGGGTCTTTCCTATTTGCACGATCATTGTGATCCCAAGATTATCCATCGGGATGTGAAAGCTGCGAACATATTGTTGGATGAGGAGTTTGAGGCTGTTGTTGGCGACTTTGGGCTGGCAAAACTTATGGACTACAAGGATACCCATGTCACAACTGCTGTTCGGGGCACAATTGGGCATATAGCTCCAGAGTACCTTTCTACTGGGAAATCTTCTGAGAAAACTGATGTTTTTGGGTATGGCATCATGCTTTTGGAGTTGATTACTGGACAAAGAGCCTTCGACCTTGCCCGGCTTGCAAATGATGATGATGTTATGTTGCTTGATTGGGTATGTTTACCATAAAAGTGTATCGTCTTGTTCAACCGCAATCTACCTTTGCTGTTTAATTCTATGTGACTACGTCCTGCAATAACTTGTAAAATGCACTACCTCTAGTTCTTAATATAAGATTTAGTTTGTAAAATCTTATATTAAGGACCTGAGGTAGTACCTTTTTTTATTATTATTATTATTTTTTTGCTATACCCAATGATGGCTGGCATATGGAGGAACCCTTTCTTTTATTCTTTTTTTTTTTTTTAAAGCAGAAAGTAATTTGGTGATGAGTTGTGTAAAAGTCCATATGTCAGTTTGCAGTTCGCACCCGTGTTATTTCAGTCTTTTCATCGCGGTTTTGGCTGAGTGGCTGTGCCCAATTTCTATGCTTGCCTAAAGCTTCCTTTTGGCATTTCACCTACAAATCTCATACTCTTGAATATGTTCTTAGGTCAAAGGGCTTCTGAAAGAGAAGAAGCTGGAAATGCTGGTTGATCCTGATCTACAAAACAATTACGTTGAAGCTGAGGTCGAACAGCTAATTCAGGTTGCACTGCTGTGCACGCAAGGTTCCCCTTTGGACCGGCCTAAGATGTCAGAAGTCGTGAGAATGCTTGAAGGTGATGGCTTGGCAGAACGATGGGATGAGTGGCAAAAGGTGGAAGTGTACCGCCAGGAAGTGGAGCTAGCCCCTCATCCTGGTTCTGATTGGCTTGTTGACTCAACCGAAAATCTACATGCAGTTGAGCTCTCTGGTCCAAGGTGACATTAGCACAGTAGAAAAGTAAAGAAAGAAAGCATTATTTATCCCCTTTTCTTTTCTTTTTTTTTCCCTTCTTTTAACCATAGAAGCTCTCTTTTTTTTACCTTCGACCCTCCCTTTGGTTCCTTTTGAGTATCACATCCTGATTATGCCTCTTGTAAGTCCAGTGCATTGTATTCATTTACATTTGTGCATAGGGGTTAGCTTTATCATGAGTTGCCATCTGTATCATCTGCAGTTTGACAATGATGTTTACATCAAATGAAACAATGACAACTTCATCTTGAATTTTGTAGACTTGCTCGATCCACAATTCTATATTCAATTAAGGCGCATGCAGTACCCGAAATATTTTTATTAGTGCATTCAGCATCATAAAGTATTTTGTAGTGTATCTAATATTTTAAAATATTTTTTTAAGTGCGTTAAGCACTATGAAGTATTTTTTGGTGTATTCAGTATTTTTATTTTTTTTAGATGTGCCTAGCATTTAAAAATATTTTTGATGTATCTAGTGTCAAGGCAAAAAAATACTTCATCGTGCTAAACGCATTTAAAAAATATTTCAGGATGCTGGATGTATCTGAACAAATATTTTGGGATGTTAAATACATCTTATTTTTTTTTATCATTTAGTGAAATTTATATTTTTTTTTATATTTTATTTTATTATTTAGTGGAATTTATCAGTGTGGGTCAATGACGTCTCGAATGGTGCTATTTATCGTTATTCCAAGGGCTGGCGAGAAATAGGGGAAAGAAGAGAATGATTCCATGTCATCGATTAAGATTAGCATGGAAGTATAGGACAACACGTATGGTCATCGTTATTCGTTACTGAGCAGGTCGTAGTGCTGACAGGATGTGACAGTCTTTTGTAGTTCCTCCAAGTAGGAAATGAGAGAATGGGCTTTTTAAATAATTTATAAATAATTTTTTAATCATAATTTATAAGATAATTATCAAAAAATAAAGTTCTTTTAAAATGATTTATAAGTAATTTTTTAACCATAATTTATAAAATATAAATAAATATGTGAAAAGAAGTTTTATTTTCAAACGAGACTTTGATTAATGGGAAAATGACAATAAAATACCACTTGAATTCTAAAAAGACAGATAAGGGACCTGAATAAGCAAAATGACAAATAAGGCACTGGGTACCAATCTGGAATTCATATTTTCGGCCAAAAGACCAAAATGCCCTGATGAATGCGGGAAGACCAAAAGCTGAAAGTGAGAGAAAGGAGAGAGGAAGATCGACGCTGATGAAATGCGGGAAGAAGGAAAGAAGAATGTTGGAAATGCTATTATCTTACTCCTTCGCATCACCATTTTGTAGAGATTGTTGATTTTGGTTGTGGGAAAGAGGATTTGTAGTAAGAGAGGGAGTGAATCGAAGCGGAAATCAACAAGCAATTACGTAACGTAACTGCTGTCATATGCCTGCTGGTTTTTGGTAAATCCCATTACGTGAATGGTAAATTTCACTATACATGTAGTTAATTATGAATTTTACAAAATACATATTGTGATTTACAACTTTTGTAGTGAAAGTGACTACTTTGTTAATGGGTTTTGCAACCTGTTTTCAGGAGATAAACAACTTGTTTGTAAAAACTAATAAAATTTCATGCTAAATTTGACAAAACGTATAGTGGGATTTACAACTTCCGTAGTAAAAATGACCACTTATTCAATGGGTTTTGTAACTTGTTTTCAGGGGATGGGCAGCTTGTTTCTAAAAACTAATAAAATTTCCTACTAAATTTGACAAAACACATAGTGAGATTTACAACTTTTGTAGTGAAAATTACCACTTCTTAAATGAGTTTTGCAACCTCTTTTCAGGGGATGAGCAACTTGTTTCTAAAAATCAATAAAATTTGACGCTGAATTTTACAAAACACACAGTGATATTTACAACTTTTATAGTGAAAATGACCACTTCTTAAATGAGTTTTGCAACCTCTTTTCAAGGGATGAGCAACTTGTTTCTAAAAATCAATAAAATTTGACGCTGAATTTTACAAAACACACAGTGATATTTACAACTTTTATAGTGAAAATGATCACTTCTTAAATGGCTTTTGCAACCAGTTAATTCAACGTGACTACAAAAGTTGTCACTTTTATTAGTTTTTACAAACAAGTTGTTTATCTCCTGAAAACAGGTTGCAAAACCCATTAACAAAGTAGTCACTTTCACTACAAAAGTTGTAAATCACAATATGTATTTTGTAAAATTCATAATTAACTACATGTATAGTGAAATTTACCATTCACGTAATGGGATTTACCAAAAACCAGCAAGCATATGACAGCAGTTACGTTACGTAATTGCTTGCCAGTTTTCTGATTTCCGCTTCATCTTTCCGCTTCGGTTCACTCCCTCTCTCACTACAAATCCTTTTTCCCACAACCAAAACCCACCAAATCAACAATCTCTACAGAATGGTGATGCGAAGGATTTAGTTTCGTCAACTGGAGGGGGTTCGGTTTCGTGGAGTGGAGGGATTGGTTTCATCGAGTAGAGGGATTCGGTTTCACTGAGGGGAGGGATTGGTTTCACCGAGTAGATGGATTGGTTTCACCAAGTGGGGGCAGTTTCTCTTTCGCCGAGTGGGGGGAATTGCTTTCGCTGGGAGGAAGCGAACACAATAAGGGCAATCCAGTCTTTAGGCCAAAAATCAAAATTCCAGATTGATACCTGATGCCTTCTTTGTTATTTTGCTTATTCAGGTCCCTTATATATCTTTTTGGAATTCAAGTGGTATTTTAGTGTCATTTTCCCTTGATTAATTTGCCGAAAAGGAAATGGAGAACGTAGCGAGAAGGGGAATGTACACCCGCAAAAGCCACAAGGGGATTCTATTTCTATTTGTTCTTGTGGAATTTTTTTTTTTTTAAGGTAGATCGCGATATTCAATTTTAAAGAAAGCTTTATGTTAAATTATGCGTAGTTTGACATTTTTCTATTTACAGTGTTTGAAAAAGTCTCAGTTTTATGTGTATTAAAAAAGTCTGTTCTATGTGCATAAAGAAACTCTCAGTTTCATATTAATTTTTAAATTTTTAACTACAACTCTCAAATCAGGCAATAGAGATTGCATTTTTGACATTTGCATGCGCTTCTAAAGGATTTTTTTATATAGAACTTTTGTTTTGGCCGAAATTTAAATATAGAAACATGTCTTCAAAGATGTCCAGAATTACCAGTAAAATGATACAACTGGAAATCCCCAATCTACAAGATTACAATACTTACACAAGAACTTGTAAATACTTACCCATTTAGCATTCTCCGTCTATCTTTTACCAGAAGAAAAGCAAAGATCATGCGCTGCCCATGAAACTACGGAATTTGAAATTCCTTATTTCCTATACAATGTTGGTTCTTTGCATTTGTTGTAGCCTTAACCACCATCAAACAACTTTGGTGTCCCGAAAGGGGAAAAAGGATTCTAAACCGCAGCAACTGAATGCTCGATGAGCGTTCACTGATGCAGAGGAAGCCACAGCATGTAGTGTAAGAATTTGAAGCCAAAACTCTGCGTCACAGGTCATGAATTGGAATGATGAGCATCTGAACCAGTCTGAGGTCCCTTATTTGAGTTCGGAAAGGTAAATAGATTGGGGTACGAAGAATATAAATCATCTTCCATCGAAGGTAAATTCCTAACCCGGAGACTAGTAGATGATTTGTCATCTAGTGTTTCATAATTGGGAAGTGAAGAATTAGAATCTGCCTTGATAGTGTCGTATGAAGGAGAACCTGATGATTGAGGTCCTGTGGAGGCATTATTAGCCCGATGGGTTTCCATCTCATGGTCACCTGCAATATTTTTCTCAGCGAAATGCCTCCCGTCTACTGCAGATCGATCTGCGCTGTTTGTATAGAATGGATTCTCAGAGGCATCATCTGGTTCACATAAGTTATTTTTCTTCGTAAGATCGCTAATGTGGACTTGTTCAAAACTCGCTGCTGACTTAGCTGCATGATGATCCTGATGAGATTCCAGTTCATTCACAAAGTTGCCATCATAGTCATTAAAGGTATTTTGCTCATTGAAAAGTCCCCTTTCTGTTGTTACAGACTCTTGAGAACTACCAGAATGGAATGGATTCTCAGAGGTACTACCTACTTCGTGCTCACTGCATTTCTTGGTAAGCCCGTTAATACGGATTTCTGCAAGACTAGCTGCTGACCGAGCTGCAGCTGCTGCACATTCAGCAGTTTCAGCAGCAGCATGAGCCGCATCCAACACATCCTGCAAATTTGCATCGGCCTCAGACTTCTTTTCAAGCGAGGGAGGTGAATCACTCTGCCTTGTGGAAAATGATCCCATTGATGCTAACGGAGGAGAGATAAATGGCACAAACTGCTTATTGTCCGTTCTACCAGAGGTTTGAGGTTCATCTTTATGTATGATTGATCTTTCTTCAACTTGCTCCTGCTTTACATCTTCAGTAACTCCAGAATGACTTGATGAGAGATATTCAGCTTCATGATGTGGAAAACACGGAGGAGTGGCCATTTCTGGAGCTGTGGCAATATTTACGTTCGAGAGGATTGGTGCTTGAGGAACTTCAGGATGCTCTTGGTTGGGTTGGTTGGTAGCAGAGTAGGATGCTTCATTGTGCTTTTCATCAGGGAGGATCAATTTAAATTCGCTAGAAATTTGTGTTGGGCCATTCTGAAAAGAAAAGGACATATAAAGATAATCGAAATTGCCATTATCATGATTACAAATTATGTTCTCTTGGCTAGCCATTACTGCCAATTACATACCAGTAAGTCTTCTTGTTTTTTGAAGAGCTCAGCTTCTGAAGCAGCTGGATCCCAATCTATCTCATGCTCAGCTGCAATTGCTTTGAGAAGATTCAGTTTCTTTGCTGGCGATGGAGCATGAACAGATAGAAGCTCTATTAACTGCGGTTGCATCAAATTTAGTATGTCACAGAAAGAAATAGCAATTAGTCTTCTTGACATGCACACAAAAATTGAAAATTTATGGAACCTGGCGATTAACCCCGCAATCTGGCATGAGCTCAGTTGCCGCTGATACAAATTCCTTTCCATATTTAGATGCAAATAGTAGTTGCACCTGCAGCAACTCTGGCAGATCAGCACATCTTGGAGCAGCAAAACATATGCTAGATATTGCTTCCTTCAAATCTAGAGGGCATTCCCTGTGCAGTATTGAGGATTTGGACGAATACTTAGAAAATTTTGATCGACTCTTAATATGAATGGATAAACATCGATAATAAGCATAGCACCAGCAGTTCGATACAGATTTATGGAACCTGACGATTAACCCCGCAAACTATGTTCCATGGAGGAATCACTACTAATGAAATCATTGAGATTTCACAAAACTAAAGAATGAGTGAAGCTTTTCTTTTCTATGATACCTTTGTGATTCAATTATTGGAAGGCGGACCACGATAAGTTCACAAAATAACTCAATGATCTCTTGGGCAGCCATCATGTTCTCCTCTCTGATAATATGTTCTACCTGCAAAGGTCATCTCATCAACAATAGCTCTAAAAGTAGTTCACTGAAGAGACTTTTCTATGGGCTGAGGGTTTAAAGTTCTGTAAAAAAGCTAAATAATATTTCATGAGAATCAGTTATACCCTGACTCGAGCAGTAGCCTCTTGACCAGTCTCAAGGAGCTTGGCTATGTCACGGCGCATCTGCTTTAACTGAATCTCTCTTCTGTTTCTTAATAACTTTATACGTGGAATTGTCAGCTTCAGCAGGGTTTTGCTGAGAGCGTCAACATTGCGGGAAAAATATAATCACTTTGAGAGAAAAATTAGACAACGGATGAACAAAAAACCAAAAAGAAGAAGAAAAAACAACATTGAAAGCAGAATGAACTCATGTCCAGTTGATCGAATGAGACGTGGATATCAAGAAATGAATAAAATACACTATCCCCTTGATTCAGATACAGACACAATCAAACTGGAACCCAAAAAAGGAAACACCTGCAATTTTCAGTAGAAGATCTGGGACAGGAAAAGCTCATAATGGAAGATAGGTGAGGGCTTATCAAGAATAGTTCAGGTTAAATGACCAATAATCCAATATTAGCTCAACAGGGTAAGCTCGCGTAATAATTTCCGATTTTTATTAACAAAGGATCTAGATACGAGTCCTTCCTGCCGCAAGAAAAAAAGTCCTTCCTTTTAAAAAGAATTCGAGGATATCGTATTCATGCATTCCAAATGACTACGAGAATATATGCAAAATAGGAAAACAAAAGCCAGACAAAAACTTGGATTGGGACCAGACATGAGTTATCGACAAACAAAATAAATCCAGGAGATATGAATTACCATTTGGAAGCCATAAAACCCCTGTTGAAGAAGGACCCGAGAATCGACATCGTCCAGCGTCCTATCAATCCAGTGTCCCGAATCGCATAAAAACAGAACGGGGGATCAAAATCAAAACACTACGCAGAATTTACGACGTTGCAGACAACTGGGCAATTCAGAATTCCCAATATGAGCCAAGTTTGAATAAGAAATGGGAAGGAAAACAGAAAAAACTTGGTGAGGCGATATCGAAGATGAGGAACGGCATGGGAAAAGAGATGAGGACGAAATTATAACGGGGAGCCACAGGCCTGCTGGCTGACTGGTTGTTTCTTAACGAGGAAGGATTGATTGATCTGGAAAACCCAGTTGATAGATTATATATTTATGAATGCGAGTGGATGATACGTAGTGAAGAACGCGGGAGTCCAAGTCGGGACTCAGGAGAGGATTTATGTGGGGCCAAAAAGGAGGAAGAGTAGGTTACGCCGAAGCTGACTGGTTGTTTCTCGTTTGGATTCATTTTTCTGTTATTCCTACCGCTCTTGTCCGTTATGCTTCTTGTCTTATTATTATTATTTTTAAAGTATTTATTTATGTATTTTGCCAGCTTTTTTTTTTTTATTATGATGGAGGAGAAATATTGTCTACAAATATTATACACCCAGACACCCATTATACACTTATTTTCTATAAAGTTAACATTTTTATTTTTTTTAATTTATATGGTTTTTTTTTTTTGGGTGTTGAATGTCAAATTATCTCTTAGCAGTAAATTTGTAGATGTGATCAAAGCAATCAGAAAATTGAGTAGCTTTTCAAATATTGCGAATCATTTACTTCGTTTTACGGAGTATCAAGTTTATTATTTGTAATAATGTTTTAGAAGCAATGGATACTGTTCATAAATGTTAAATTTGTTTCTTCTTTCTTCAAGAACACTTTTTTTCCCCTTCATAAAAATCATGGACTTGCCTTTTTCGCTCATAAAGAATTTACTTTCGTCGATATCTCAAGGCAATCAATAAGCACAAAGATCAACAGAGGATATATTTTCATATAAAAAACTTGACCATTTTATGCGAAAATTTTCTTTCATGGTTTGTATTAGTACGTAGATAATCAAAATCTGTTTTCCTCGGATTCATAATCAATTTGAAAACTTCAAGAAATATGGATTTAAAAATTTCTTAGTAAGCAATTCGTTAATACCCGGGACTAATTTAAAAGCATGTCATGATCAATGGTCTTTTAGAAAAATTTCAAATTTTTAGTCCTTTTCAATATAAAATTTTTCTACAAGGAGCCTTGAACTGTGATTCTTCCGCCATGTTCTCTCTGGTGAAACCTCACGAAGAATTTTATTTCATTTTTTAATAATACGAGTCCTATGAGGAATTTTCATCAAAGGTAATCTTGCATACATAGAATACAATTAAATAAATAATGGTAAACGTATGACAAACATGATTTTTTTCCCCCATTTTTACGTATTATTTAATTTGTTCTTCATCAATTTACCTTCTGCCTAACTGATTAGTGTAAATTTAACATTCACCATGTTAATATCCAAAATCAAAGCGATTCAAAATGACCCTTATCTTGAAGTCAATGTAATTAACTACTCTAATGAGCTGTTACAATAATATTCCTTGTTTACCAAAATCTCTCATTCTAGCTTGATCTCCTATCATAAATTCTGATTTGAGAATAATGTCCTTCGCAGAACACAATGGTGAAGCAACATTGTTCATCAGCAGCATCTCTTTCTCTTTTGCTTCTCATGGCATCATCATCACTGATAACAATCTTTGGAGAGTCATTAGAGGAAGACGCAGAAGGGCCGGCAACTTCTTCAGAAAACATCTCTTTGCTGCCGAAGAGGCACGTGAGGATCACAAACGATCTGGGGAAGGGTCGCGTTTTGAGGATTCACTGCAAATCCAAAGACGACGATCTGGGAGTACACTACCTGTCGTTTCACAGCACATATCAATGGAAGTTCAAGACCAACGCGCTTATAAGGAACACGTTGTTCTATTGCTACATGTGGTGGGGCAACAATGTGACGGGAAGTTACGATGTGTACAGAGCAACCAGAGACGATGACAAGTGTACGGACTGCAAATGGAGTATCAGAACTGATGGTTGGTACTGGTTTGATTCTGGCAGTGGCCACTGGCATCTCATGTATCAATGGCCTAAACCCTAGCTAGCTTTTGTATCCTTGAGGTTGAGGGACCATAATATATAATATATTAATAAGTCTTTTGTCACTATAATAATATTATTAGATTATTAGATTATATATATATATATATATATATATGTTCCATTTCTTAGCTTTACATCTTCTTTCTCCATTTGTGTCAACCTCAAGGCTTTGAATTCGGTGTTCTTTCTTGGTTCAGTCATTGAATGTTTTACGTTTTATTTTTAAAAGTCTTGGCAACACTAAAATTTCTTTAAGGAAATTAATTCCCTTAATTCTATTTCTATGTTTCATATCAGTCATCACCCAAAAAATAATGCCATAAAGTACGTAAGTAGTAATATCACGATTTTATTTTTCTACAATTTTTTATTGTGTGTAGTGTATTATAACTTAATTATTATTTAACTTGCACGTTTTTCTTTTCTTTCTTTGTTGTTTTTTTGGCACTCTTCAACTTTCATGTTTTCGTTTTCAACTTTTCATTGGAATTTTTGGATAACTTTATACATGCAAAGTCTAACGCAATAGAAAAATAAAAATGTACGACAATCTACATTTAGGATGCGCAGCATCATATCGTTCAAATAAATTATAGTTATGGAAATTTTCTTACTCTTTTTTCAAAACACTAAAATAAAAAAAAATCGCAAAACAGCTTATTACGTCAATCATTTTTAAGACCAATACAACAAAAAAGAAAGTATAATTCAATTTCTACAATATTGTCTCCTTAGATTTGAATAAATGACAATGTATTTTATGTGCCGGCGGCTATAAAACTAATGCTTTTACGATAATTTAATAATATGTTTAGTTATATAATAAATTTATCTATTTTGTTTTTGAGTCATATTTCTTATCTTTTTTTTTTCCCTTGTTATTGAATGTCAAACAGCATATCTCTCAATAATAAATTTGTAGATAGGTCATCAAAGCAATCAGAAATTGAATCTCCAATATAATCGAGGCAATAGATATACGATCTATATTGAGTAGCTTTTCTTTTCTTTCTTTTTTCCTTCCAACGAGTGGCGTTTCAAATTAAATATTGTGAATCACTTACTTAATTAATTTTACTTAGTGATGTAGTATGAACTTTGTTCTATAAATTATTATCTTATATACATAACATTAAATAAAATAATGATAAGCATATATGACAACATGATTTCTCATTTCCCAATATTACCTCCAATTCTTAATATAAAAGCTACTTTAACTTTTAATTTAGTTTTAAATATAAGACTCTAATTTATTTTGTCTCTTATATTTATCTAATTTTTTATAAAGTAGTTCTTATAATAGTTGTACATATTAAAGATTTCAACAAATAATAGTTCTAACTAATATACATAATTAGCAGGGATATTCTAGGAAAAACAAAACCTATTCATTACAAATAATTAACTTAACAAACTTTCTTAATTAAGTTACTCAAATTAGTAAACTAACATTTACATTAAAGGTCGGAGGTAGTATATATTAATACGCGGCTGTTGAGAGTAATCCTTGTATCATAAACTGATGATTTGGGCATAATATCTCCTTCACGAAGCAAAACTAAATGCGTTTGTAAAGATAACGTTGTTACATTATATTGCTACAAGCACGTGTTGGTGAAGGGAAGCTTCGATGTGTACAAAGCAGCCAGAGATGATTCCAAGTGCAGAGACTGCAAATGGAAGTGATGGTTGGTACTGGTTTGATGCTGAGAGTAACAACTGGAATCTCATGCATCGTTACGTTGGCCTAAACCCTAGATTTTTGTATCCATGAGGGACCATAATATAATATATTACTCCCTCCGTTCCTTATTATAAGAGACATTTGATGCTTATGGCATGTTCTTATATATAAGAGACACTTAAAAGTTGTCTCTACTTTTTTGTGTTGATTTCCTATTTTACCCATATTTATTGTCTCCAACTCACACTCTCTCTCCTTCCCACTTCTCTTTCTTTTAATAATTTACCATTGTTCTCTCTCATGCTCTCTCTCCTTATTAATGAGGGTATTTTTGGAAAAAAAAATTATACTTTTTACACATTGATTGTTCTTAACTAATTTTAACTGTTTTTTTTATCAACGTAATTCGGTTATTCGTCTCTTATAATAAGGAACGGAGGGAGTAACATTCGTAGCTAGCATCTACTTTCTCCATTACTAGTATGGTTATAAAATTCTGATAAAAAAAAATATATAAGATAAAAATGTAAAAAAAAAAGTTAAAATCTTTTAATCCAAATTCTTCAATTTTTTAAGTGGACCTCAATAAAATTTTTCTCCCTCATCTCCTCTCCTCTCCATTTTCTCATACCAAAGGACCCCTGGTGTTAACTTTGTTCTATGTAGATTGTAGTCTTCTAGAATCTATAAGCAACTGATATAAATGTAATTAAATTTGTTTCTCCTTTCTTTATGTCATCCATATCTCAAGGCAATCAATCAACACAAGGTCAACCGAGGATATTTTCATATAATTTTGATCATTTTATGCGAATTTTTTGTACTGGTTTCAGTGGTTTGTATTAGTTCATAACCAAAATCCATTTTTCCTCTCTTTTTTTTTTTTTAACTAGGAGAGAAAAACACATAAGTACCAAATTAAAAATAAAATAAAAGTATAGGTATCTATAAATTTTTTCTTTTCTTTTTTTTCCTTCATTAGATTCATAAAATAAATGTTAAAGTATACATTTTCTCCTTTAACTGTATATCTTCAAGGTTTCAATTTAATTTATTTAAATTTAAAAAGTATTCCCTCCGTTCCTTTTTATAAGCAATCTTGGACTCTATTACCTAGATCAAAAGGTTACTCATCTTGTCCTATTTATAAGGCACTTCTAACGTATTTCACATATACCAAGAAAAACCTTAAACTATATCAACTCTTCGTTAAAATATAGCAACTTTTCAATTTTACCCTTATTTAATATATACACATTTCAAAAGAAATTACTATCTATACTATAATAAATGAATAACAATATAGTACATTCATGGTAAAAATTTAATGAAGTGACTTATAAATAAAACCCGAAAAATTCTCTCTCTGCCCTATAAATAGGACCAAAGGAGTAGTTAAAGAAAATAAATATATAGAAATTAGAAATTATTTTTTTTAAAATACCCTTATTTATGGGGGGAGAGAGTGTAAGAAAGAGAAGAAGAAAATTATTATAATAGAGAGAATTATGAAAGAAAGAGAATATGTGATGGAGAGAGATGATGATTTGAAAAATATGATAATAAATATATTGAGTATTATAATAAGTAATTAATGTGGGTAAAATAGGAAATTTGCTACAAAATTTAAGACAACTTGTAAATATTACTTATATTTAGAGACGGGATAACAATTGTTGTTTATAAAAAAGGACAGATAGAGTATATTTTTAGTTTTTTTAACTATAAAATCGTTAGATTGAAATGATTATTTTTAATAATCATGATTGTTTTGAAAATTAAACTTAACATATTAGTATTTGAGAATGTTTTATTTAAGACCTCAATGTTAACATTTTTTGTTGACAAATTTACAGTTCAATGACTAAAAACATACTTTATAAAATTAAAAAGTCAAACTTAGACTCTGTATAAAATTAAACGACTTTAGCAGCTTAAAATAAATGGTAGTACTTCAATACTATCTTCCTAGCAAGCATGAATGATACAGTTTTAAATGCTATTAATGCCCAGAATAAAAGGGATTCAAAATGAACCTTATCTTTATATTTAAGTCATTAATTACTTGTAGCTTTTAATATTTCCTCCTCTACCAAAAGTCAAAATCTCTCATTCCTTCCTCAATGGGATTGTTGAGAACAATCGTTATATCATCAACTCTAATTTTAGCATCTCCTTGAGGAGACAATAATGGCGAGGCAATATTCAGCAGCACTTTCTCTTTTGCTTCTCATGGCATCATCATCACTACTCTTTGTGGTGTCAAAAGGGGCACCAAGTTATTCTGAGAAGATTTCTTTAATTCCAAAGAGGCATGTGAGAATCACGAACGACCTGGGGGAGGGCCGCGTTTTGAACATACACTGCAAATCCAAAGACGATGATTTGGGAATACACAACCTGTCGTTTCACAGCACTTTTGAATGGGAGTTCAGAAGCAACGCGTTCGCAGCGATAACTTTGTTCTACTGCGACATGTGGTGGGGCAACCATGTGAAGGGAAGCTTCGATGTGTACAGAGCAACCAGAGACGATAACAAGTGCACAGACTGCAAATGGAGTATCAGAACTGATGGTTGGTACTGGTTTGATGCTGAGACTAACAAGTGGGATCTCATGTATCGCTGGCCTAAACCCTAGATTTTGTTTCCATGAGGAACCATAATATAATATAATATATTAACATTCTTAGCTTTACATCTTTCTCCATTTGTGTCAACCTCAAGGCTTTGAATTTTTATGTTCTTGGTTTGGTTACTGAATGCTTCACGTTTTTGAAGTTATAATAACTGTAACTTCATGTTTGGATGGAAAGAAAACAAAGGAGGAAAATGGGAAAAGAAATAAGTTTTTTCCTGTTAATGAGAGGAAAGAAAAGTAGGAGAGAAAATAGGGTATAGGGTCCACCTTATTTTTGCCCACCTTATTTTCTCTCTATATATAAGGAGAAAATAAGAAGAAAGCTCACATTCCTCATATATTCTCTTTAAATATAGTCCAATAATATCATATTCCACCTTTAATGTAACTTTTTCTTTTTAATTTTACTTATAACTACTTCATAATTCAACAAAATTATCTCATTATACTGTGGCAAAAAACAAAAGCTACACATGAACTCCATTCTTTCACAGTTAATGAATGTAGGAAATTTGCACAAATTAATATGTATATAATTTCTTCATTTTCTTCATCTCTTTCAACTTTTACATTAAATTTTTACTATTTATTAATAATCTTAAATAATACGTAATTTATTTATTTCATTTTATAATGTTTGATTTAAAAAGGATTGTCCACTTTTTTATTTTTACCTTTAAAAATAATTTTTTTTACTAAATTATTTGGTTTTTAAAATATAATCACATGATAATAAATTTTTATCAAATAATTTGATTTTTAAATTATTTAATGATATTAACGTTAATATGATTTTTTTTATTATGATATTTAATTTGATTTATAACATGATATATTTAAGAATAAAGGTATTTTAATCATTCATATATTTGCTAATTTTCTTTCTTTCATATTTTCTCTTCTCTATCCAAACAGCAAAAAAGATAATATTTTTTTATTAGTTTTCTCTTCTTTTCGTTTGTCTCTCTTTTCATTTTTTTTCATCTGAACGGAGCATAAAGTTTCTGTAAGAAATTAATTCCCTTAATCCTTTTGAGACGTTTCTTATCAGTCATCGCTCAAAAAATGATGCCATAAAGTTCATCGTACATGATTTCACTTTCAGAACTTTCCTATCGTTTGTGTTCGCACAGGCACGTTTATTTAACTTTCACATTTTCTTTTCTTTTACTTTTTTCAAACTTCAATTTTCATGTCTCCTTTTCATTGGAATTTTTTGATAACCTTCATAATTGTAAAGTTTCCCGCAATTAAAAAACAAAAGTATAGTTATGCAAATTTTCTTAATCTTTTTTCAAAACACTAAAATGAAAAAAATATCACATGAAGACTTTATCTTAAAAATTGAGCAAACTAAACAAATATCTTAATTGTTTTACTAAAATTATTACATGGATACTCCTCTCTGTCTTCAACAGATATTTACATATATTTTAAAACGTAAAAAAAATTACTATTTGAAAACAAATACGCAATTCTGTTTTTATCTAAAACGTTTGAGTTTAAAAAAATCGATAAAGGGTGTGAGATTCTGGAAAGAAAAAAAAATTCTGCAATTTACTCGATTTCATATGGGAGACAACTACATTTTTCCTTTTTAATCAAGACGAGTACAAAATTTTCTTGAATGCACAAGTTACATATCACATATCAGACACGGACCAGAGGTAAGCTTCTTTGTCCCTGGATCGCTTCTCATTCATTCTCTTGAACAGCTCCTTCTCAAATCCTACCACAACAATACAGCCACGTCAATCATTTTAAGATCAATACAACTAAAAGCATTCCAAATCATTTGTGAGAGAAAATAGAAGACGTCACTAGAATGAGACGAAATTGTAAACCTACCATTACTACGATCAACACCATCCCAGTGTCGTCCTGGCCTGATCCCATACCGATTAGGCGCAGCATCCAAACCTCTTTTCAACCAGCTGTGATCTGGAATGTCCTGAGGAACGATGAAACCTGAATCCCTCATTCTATCATTGTCCCCCAGGTCCGGAATAACAGGCGCCGGATATTTCTTCTGAGAAAAACAATTTCCACAAGAGAAACATGTCAACGTAAATACAAGATGTTAGAATGACATGAATTCCAACACCATATTGGTCAGCCTCAGATTTATTACATTACCTTCACCAAATGTGCCATAGGATCGCCCCATCTTACTCTGTCCTTCAGCACTGAGTCAAGCTCCGGATCATCTCTGGCAGAAAACACAGCTTTAAACTCTCATGGAGAAAAAGAGACAAGGGAATTTATTCTTTCAAATATATTATGCCAAAAACACAAATAAATTGAACACTCATTAATTGTTCATAAAGGGAGGGGCAATGAGGTGTCAATCATTTCATTTGGAAAAAAATGCTGGAAGATGAATAAGACCACCACTGAAGGATGATTATACGGAAAAATAAATAAGTAATAGGTTTCAGGTTCCAAAAAAAACACCTAATATGACAAACAATAGTCCTTAGATATTTATTACATTACCTTGTACGTGCAAATGGCCTGTCCTTCTCAAGTTCTAGTTCCTGAAGTCTAGCATCAGCTTCCCGTTTTTGAGCCAAACCCTTACCCCATTCTATTTCCATCTCCTAGAAGTCACAAGGCAGCTAAGAATTAAGCTACGCATTTTTTTTTCAAAGGAAAAGGATAAATAAGATCAATGATCCATTGAAGTAGAATTTCACCTTAGGCTATCGCATGAAACACATAAAATTACACAAACTGTTGTTAACACACTATTCTAAGGCATTGTATGTTCAGATGGGACAAATAACACGCTCGATTATGGGCCATCATGGGCGTAGAAGAGCATTTCTACCAATAGTAAATTAACCATTGATAATTTATGATGGCAGGAGTACTAATCAAATTACTCATTTTAGTAGTAAGTGTAGATGGCCTAGGAATAATCCAGAAATTGATGAAGTTGGATTGAGCAAACTGCTCAATTTACGCTTTATCTTGCTCCAAATAAGGATAGAACATAAATCGATACAAAGCTATCACCAAGGGGTTATTATTCTGTTCTAAGATTTCTGGACTTCTAATTATGACATGCCTGGGGAAAATGAAAATTCTGCATCAACTCATTCTGTTCATCTGGAACGGCACAAGTCTGCTCAGGTTCTCAATAAGCATAATCACCAGATTCAACTGAACTATCGACTTTCTGAGACTTGCGATCATTTGTTCTTACACTGGGTATACTAGGGCAATATGATTTGGAGCTGATCTTGCTATTTAGACTGATTGCATTCAGATAGAAATGGTTCTTTGAGCAGTTAGACATATGGTTTTCTAAATTGGAAACCAATTGGCAAGTGTTCCAAGACACAGTACCCAGTACACAGTGCATTTATAAAAAGGTTATAACCAGAAAAACACGATTATGTTGCAAGCGATTGTGGTGCACCAAAAATACCTTTGGCTTTTCTTTAATTTTTTGTTTTGACTTCATGTATTCCTCCTTTGAAATGCGTTCTCCTGCAGAGTTGAACATAATTTACATATAAGCATATTTAACACAAAGGCAAATTAGATAATTTCAACACAAAAAATCAGATGAAGATTGACTTTTCATACCTTTTATTTTATCACGATACACAGGTTCAGCACCACGCCCGCTGATGTTCGGATCCATCTGTTTAAATCTGTAGCAAGAATTTGTTATCAGTTTCTCGGGTAATACAAGATATTCTTGTTGAAATGATTACCAAGTGGAATGGGTGAACGGTAAATTCAACTTCTCATAAACTCTGATATATTAAATTCTTAATAATCATTAAACAGGGCCACAGGGTAGAGACACTGACAATTCTTAAACAACATAGATCAGTAATTCAAGCATGGATGTACGGCATATAAGTACAGGTATACCAGATGATGCAGAGAACTAAGTTCAAAGCAGCCAAAAAGCTAAGGAAACAGAAGCAACAAGTTATTTTGTTTTTGGCAGGTTACTTCATGACAACAGTATATATCCACAAATTTAGAATCATAATCCAATAAAATAATTTCAAAGTAACCACACGCTGAAACGGAATGAAAACATGCCTGTTCTAAAAGCAATATCGAACAAGTTATCACATGCACTAAACACAGCATAAAAGAACCCTGAATAACTAACGTTCTTTGTTGCTGAAGCTGCCACGCTTCTTATGTCAAAATCTAAAAGAAATTTTGCACCATCCGTACTGCCATAACCAAATTAAAAAGCTTCATTGTATCAAATTATAGGCCCTAGTTTTAACCCAAGAGGTATGGACAACGCACCATATTTCATATTAATTCATAGGATATATATAATAAAGAATGGACAGAAAAATTAGCCAATAACAATTACCTCAGCCAATCATCTTTCTTCTTTTTGTCAATTTCTTCCCTAACATCTCGACCAGAAATTAAGCCTGTTTTCTGATTCTTCATAGAAGATGGAAAATCTACTTCTTTTTGCTTTTTTCTTGGTGGAGAAAGATCAGGAGACAAAGATGGATGTGAAATGACTCTCGCAGGAGGACTACGAGGATGACTGGGAGAGCGATCAGATAAACCCCGTCCTCCAATATTCCTTCTTTTCCTTGGAGGTGAAAGGTCCAACTCCAATGATTTATGTGAACTGACTTGATAGAGAGAATCATGATGACCTCGTCGAGGTGGAGATATGTCATGCAATTCAGCAGTCTCCAGGCCTCTTTTCCCATAATCTTCTGACGTTTGACAATGAGGACATCAATAAAGGAAAATGTCAGCATTCAAATGAGAGCATCGTCAAGATAATATTTGTGGGAAATCAGACTTTATTGCATTTGTTAGGGAATATTTACATTTATTGTAAGCATTTATTGAAATTTTTGCTGGATAAACTCCCATACTAAGCACATATGAGATTAGAGAAATGAGAAATACATTTTTTGTCCCTAAATTCCACAACATTAGGTTCAAGGGACGGCATACAGTTTACCTTTGCGCCGTTGCCGAGGAGGTGATAA